CGATCTTTCGTCCGTCATGTAACGAACATAATCAGAGCCAGAAACCATTATTCACGAAAAAATCACCAGAAAACACTAAACCAAGAAAGGTGGACAGCTGAGATCCTACTTACTTTTTATACCGCACATTGCGATCTTAATGTGGTACTCTATGATTTGGTTGGCGGATTTATGCTCGTCCTACATGCATGGAAGTGGGTCAAAGTGATGCAGGCAAGGGAACATAAATGGTCATAACTTTTGTCTATGCAAATAAACTAGAGTATGATCAAGTATTCGTATTAGAGTAGGGTTTCGAGACAATGATCAAGTAGTCTTGGATCTTGCTACAGGTTGATGGATGCGGATGTGTTTGTGCATGCAACAATCACGTGTTGATTGACAATTTCAGATTCAAAAATACGCTCCAACTTAGTCTAGTCTCCTTCTCTCACTCAGTAGCTCTTACTGCTCCCTTTGCTTCTCACTCACTCTCTCTCATTCTATTTAGAAGCTAGAGATAGTACTTAATTAGTTTTCTACATTGTCTCTCTTATTCAGGATATTTTTTTTTACTAATTTTAATCGACTCTCTGATCTTTCTCTTAGCTGTCAAGTCCCCATATCCGTCAAAACGTTAAGACTTTAGACCATTCTATCAGGTGTCCTGTAGCGACAACACATAACATCTTGATCTACAGAGGGCTTTTGAAGATTCTCTAAATAAAGGCACGATCGAGGAAAACGTTAGCGTTTCTTTATACATTATCCTAAGGCTCCATTTCCTTAATAATTAGCCTATCTTTCTTGATGCTTACAGGATGATAATAGTACCAATCTGGCCAAAAAGTTGTTTAATTCCTTGTTTTGTCAAAAATAATAGTTTTCCTTCACCCTATTTCTCAATATTTTGAAATTGTTAACAATTAATCCTAGAGAATAATTATTCTTAACTAAGATTTTCATTAAACTTTCTAACTCTTGTTCTTGATGATTTACGTCCACTAGACGTAAACTCCCTATCATCATTGATTTCAGTACGCCTCCCTTAACACCATAATTATGGTTCGAGACAAAATAAAGAAGGAAACCGGCATTTGTGAGTTTCCTATATACATCTTTACCCAGTTTGCTTCCTTCTTTACTAACTAGAACATCTAAAGAGGGTAGCTTATTCTCTTTTTCCAATTCCATAGTGAATTTAGTCGCCCTATCTACACTATTCATTAAACTAAGGAAGTCATCAAAATACTCTTTGGCATGTTGCCATGTAGCAAAATAATCGTCCATACATCTGACCAATAGTTTCAGAACTAGCAGTGACTCTTGAGAAGCCGGACTTCCAATTGTGCCATGTAATGATTAGCTAAAACTGGAGATAAACACGATCCCATAGTTAACCTTCCTGCTTGTTTGTATAATTTACCACTAAAAATAAAATATGTTCTATTCATTATTAAGTTCGTCAATCGCATGATTGACTCCTTGCTTACCCTATTTCCTGATATTATCTCTGGGTGTAGATCTAAGGTTAATCCTAATGCCTATATTCCCCCACTTATCGGTACATTCGTGTACATCGATACTACATCAAAACTTACTAGCAAATCATCTTCTATTATTTGTTCGTGTATTAACTTTATAATGTCATAAGAATACTTTATTAAAAATTTCCCAAAATCTGAGATTTATTTTAATTGACCACAGATGAATCGTGATGTTTTATGCATCACACCACCCGTATTATTTACAATAATCCTAAGTGGGACATCCTCCTTGTGGAATTTGGCAGACCGTATGCATTAGGTCAAGTGTAAAATTGGCGACGTGTATTCATTTTCATCTCTCATATTCTCCACTATTAACGCATTGTTGCAGGCAACTCTTAAGTCTCGATTTTTATGTTTCTGTATGAATAGCAGTGAAAGTTATTTATAGGACCCATGTTGATAGGTATAGAATTATAACTAAAGAACCTACCGAAACATTAGAGTCGAGACTTAAGAGTTGCCTGCAACAATGCGTTAATAGTCGAGAATTGGAAAAGAAATACACTTCTCTAATATAACGCTAGACCTCCTTATGTATATGTTCTGTCCAAAATTCACAATGAAAGGGGCCCACTTAGGATCATTGTAAATAATAAGGATGGCGAAATTCATAAAACGTTTCAGTTCTTTTGTGGTCAATTAAAACATATCTCAGTTTTTTGGACATTTTCAATAAAGTATTCTTATGACATTATCAATTTTTTATCTAGGGGAGACACAGAATTGTCTGCAAGCGCTTATTGATTCAGAAATCGGAAGTGGCTGAATATGTGGTCGCTACAGGATACCAGATAGAATGGTCTAAATCTCAACGTTATGACTGATATGGGGACTTCACAGCTAAGAGGAAGATTAGGGAGTCGATTGAAATTGTTAAAACAAAAAATATCCTGAATAAGAGGAACGAATGTAGGAAACTAATTAAGAACTATCTCTAGCTTCTAAATAGAATGAAAGAGTGAGAAGTAAAGGGAGCAGTAAGAGCTACTGAGGAGGAGACTAGAATAAGTTGGAGCGCCTTTTTTAACCTGAAATTGTCAACCAACTCGTGATTGTTGCATGCACAAACAAACCCGCATCCATCAAGCTGTAGCAAGATCCACGACTACTTGATCATATTCTAGTTTATTTGCATAGACAAAAGTTGTGACCACATCCGCTTACCTGCCTGCATAATTTTGACCCGCTT